GACCTGTGCAGACACTTCACCCAAGAAGAAACACAGGTGGCGAACAAACTCAGTAAGCAACGTCTGGGATCAGCAGCTGGTTGAGACAAGCAAAGAAAAACAAGACAGTGTCTGACCTCAGCAAAAAGAGGAATCCTGCTGGCATCCTGTCAGGCTGCTGACCTCATAGTCAGTGTTCAACTTGATCAGCTACTCCACGGAAGAAAGATGAGGCTTTCTGTTCCTATTCACATTTGTAGCCTTGGAACCATATACAGGGTAGTCACAAGTCTGAACTGACTCAAGAGCTCACCACAATAATAATAAAAGGCAATAACAGCAAAGTTCAGAGGAAAAACAAAAACAGAAAACAAATATTGGGCAGGGTATGGAGAGATTTGAACTCTTGTTCATTGCTAGTGGAATTGTAAAATGGTAAAAGTATAGTGCTTCCTCAAAATGCTAGAAATAGAAATAGCTCATTATAGAGCCATCTTACTCCTAGGGATATAGCCTAGCTAGATAATGGAATGACACACATAGACATATGAACAACAATGTTCACTGCAGTATTAATTACACTAGCACAAAAGATGGATACAACCTAAGTTTCAGTCAACGAAAAAATTGGTAAGTAAATGGTGTTATGTACCTACAATGGAATACTGCGCTATGGGAGAAAGATGAGGCTTTCCGCTCTCACCAAGATGTACAGCCTCTGAAACCCTATACAGGGTTGCTATGAGCTGGAACCTACTCCACGGCATTGATCAACAATAAAGAATACTGAGGAGTCAGTGAAACATTGTACAACATAATCGGATCTGGGAGGGCATTATGATGAATGAAATAAGCCAATCACAAAACACAATTACTATACTATAAAAAGTCAAAACTATACAGACAGAAAGCAAAGTTCTTTGCTGGTTATCAGAGATGGAAGGGTGAAGGGGGAATCACTTTCTATATGGTTTTGTTGTTGTTGATTCACAGCAACCTTGTTAGGGTTTCCGAGGAGCACATGGTGGGTTTGAACTGATGACCTTGTGGTCTGCTGTCTAATGAAGATCCTACAGCGCCACACTAGAAGTTCTTCTAGATGGTAGACACTTGTTACTTTGGATGATGGAAAAGGCTGCCCAAAATATTGGTGAAGTCAGCACGACTTGACCAAGTAAACAAAGACACTAAGAATACAAGAAAAATGGACAATTTAGCTAAATGTATACAAAGAACTCTGGTAGCGTAGTGGTAACGAATCAGGCTGCAAACCGCAAGGTCAGCAGTTCGAAACTAACAGCTGCTCCACGGGAGAAAGATGAGGCTTTCTGCTCCCATAAATATTTACAGCCTCAGAAACCCTGTTCAGGGTCGCTATGGGTCGGAACCGACTCGATGGCACTTAACAACAACAACATAACATATACACATATATAATTTTACAACAATAACAACTAAAAACTGTGTGGCTATATAGGTAAATACAGGTACACATATGTGTATGGTAAGTCCTGGTGTGGTCCTGTGGGTTAATCCGCTGGATTGCAAAATCGTTTGAAATTGCAAGGTTGGTGGATCAAGCTCACCAGTTGCTTCGTGGAAACTCTATACAGGGTCGCTGAGTTGGAATCAACCTGATGGCAGCTTTGGTTTTTATTTTTTTAATAAATAGGCAATTAAACAATTGACTATATAGACCAATTAACATACACCCATATGCAAAGATGGTATTACAAGGAGGGGAAAGGAAGGCAAATGAATGAAAACAGGACAGAACAGAAATAATGAGAGTGTTAAGAACAGGAACCAATGGTACAGAACGATTTATATAAAAATTGCTTAAGTGGAACCTAACTTGGTGTGTAAACGTTCACCTAAAGCACAATACAAAAATATTATTTAAGGGCAGAAAAGTTAAAAGGTAACTGGGGATTTACTGGTTTCCACTAAGGGAAAACATGATCTGAATTGCATCTGTAAAAGTTAGAAAATTGTTCGGAGGCCAGAAATTAGTAAGGTATGAGTACAGCGAGGAAGACTAGTTAGGAGTTGATAAAGTAATCCAGGGACCATTAGTGGTCTACACTGTGGTGATTGGTTAAGTGTTGAAGGCAACTCCATGGTTTTAAGCCTGAGTCTGGGTGAAAAGATTTAGTCAGAACTTTGGAAGAGTGCATGAATCTGTTTGAGAAACCAAGAGTTCGCTTTATGTGATATTTGCAGATGCAATGATGTGTAGAGGACGTACTTCAAAATAATCAAGAGGATATATAAGACGATTGTTTGCTGCAGAAACTGGGGAGGGGGGGCGGGTGTACATATAGAAGTTCATTATACTATTCAGTCTTGCAGGTGTTTTTTTAAGTAAAAATTCTTAAATGGTTTCTGTTAGGAGTTTAGTGAAATCAGGGATTAAGAAAGCTGGGAGAAGTCAGTGTGTTTAGAGACATGGGACAGGATGACAACACCTCAGAAGTGAGCACAAATAGAGAATCGGTCCAGTACTAAACTGTCCAGTACATGAAGATGAGCAGAATTAAGAGCGCTTTTGCCAGGACTTTATATATCAAAAGTCACTGGAAACTGTACAGCTTTGGTCACCACTTCTGGGGATATAATCTAAGAAAACAGGGCTGTTGTTAAGTGCCCTCAAGTCGGTTTTCACACATAACGCCTCTGTATAGGGTTCCAAGGAGAAGCTGATGAATTTGAGCCTTCGACTTTGCGATTCAAACCCACTTTGCAGTCCAGCACTTAGTCCACAGTACCACACCGGGATTCCAAGAAATAGGAGTAGTACATACTTTATATAAAGAGGTATCACTATGCTTAACAGAAAAAAGATAAAAAAAGGTAGAGGGTTTATTGGTGACAGTCTAATAGAAATGGAACAGTAATGGGCTAGCTAATACAAGCAAGATATAAAATTTTGTGAAAAAATTCCATTGTCTTTTAATTCTATTTTCCCACAGACTTTTTGAAGTCCTCTGGTACACTTCAGGATATTCAATGGAATTATTGTGTACCTATTTAAAACGGTGCAGGTATATCTTGTTGGTGTTGCTAAGTCCTGTTGCATCAGTTCCAGCTCTCAGCGATTCTGTATAGGGTTTCCAAGGAGCGGCTGAGTTTGAACCACCGACTTTGTGGTACAAACCAACCTTACAGTCCAGTGCTTTATTTCATATAGCCACACCAGGTGTATATTGTTGCTGTTGTTGAGTGCTGTCAAGTCAGTTCCAGCTCATAGCGACCCTGTGTAGTTTCTGCTGAGTGGCTGGTGAGCTGGAACCACCAACTTTGTGGTTAGAACCGACCCTGCAGTCCAGCGCATTAACCCACAGCGCCACAGCAGGACTAAGACATATCTTGTTGTTAAAGTGCCGGTGTCTTGGTGACCTGTAAATTTACTCACAATATAGTAAGTGAAAAAACAGATTCAGTACATTATAGTTTTACAGTTTGTCACTATATATATTTATTTTACACCTTCCTTACCACTTATAGCCTAAAATGGTAAATCTTACCAAGTTTGGTGGTAAAATTAGGTGCTTTTCTCCCGCTGTTTTGAAATTTTTTCTCAATGGAGATGATAAAAGTATACCAATAACAATTGCCATGGAATTAATTCTAACTCAGAGTGTCCAATTATAACGAATCCATCTTTATTTTACAGAGTAGAACTGTGTTCCACAGAGTTTTCAATAGCTGATTTTTTGGAAGTAAATTGTCAAGCCTTTCTTGTAAGGTGCTTTTGGGTGAACTCCGACCTCTGATGTTTTGGTTAGTAACAGAGTGTGCTGTTTGCACCATCAAACACCAATAAAAAAAGACAAGTTTAAAACTTCTAAACAAGTTCATTCAGCAGGAATCTGATTTAACACAACCAAAAATTATACTGATAAAACACCCGTCTAAAATTATATGTTCTTTTAAAATAAAGAATCACAGGTAATTATTTTAGTAGTGTATTATTTTATTGAGAAGTATAATAAAACCTCACAATGATTCTACTGTTTGGATAAAATGTCTAGTTACTTACAAATAATTATATTAAATACCAAAATCCAGTATTTCAATATTGTCATGAAAGTATTATTTTCACAATTTAGTCTTTATTCCAAAATTTGATATATAAACTCAAACATAATAAACTTTAATATGACTTTAAATAACCTAAGAACAAAAAATAATTCAAAAATACCAAAGCAATTTAAATAACATTAATTTCATTTCAATGTGTACTCACTAGCAATATTTAATAAAAGCATTGTGAATATTATTTATACTGGAATATAATTTATGTAAAGAATACTTTGAGATGTTCCATTTTACAATCATACTAGGTGTTGGCCAGGTACTTTAAGCATGTTTGTTTTTGTCTTTTAATCAAACTGATTCAATTTTAAGTTCTTAGATCAGCCTCATCTAACTTCCCTTATTTAGATAATATCATTAACAAGGATTTATTAATGCACTTGACCTCAACTTTAGAAAATAAACTTGTTTACAACATTTCATGTTTAGAGAGGAATTTTGGCTTTCGAGTTAAAAGAAGTATTTTTAAGAGTCCAATTATAACAAATCGATCTTTATTTTACGGAATGCTTTCATTGGGTGAAAAGCATTAACAATTTAGCATCAGAAAATTCTCTTTAGAAGGCAGATACTTTTAAAGATTCTACAAGCTTCTATTTTTTTTTTTTATTAATATCTGAATCCAAATTATAGAGTTCTATAATTATATTAAGGATACTAGGTATCTATATGCATATTAAACACCTCTTCTTTAAGCACTTCAAGAATTTCATTGTGGTTATAAAATTCATCAAATACTATACTTCTAAAAAGAATTTTTCTTCCTTGGTTTTGTCCTTAGAATCTCAAAACGTAAAATTGCTTTCCTATATCTAATATTACTGTATACACATAATAGTAAGAGAAAACAAACAAACTGGGGTTTACTATTTTATGGGTACTACCTATTGTAGCTTATGTCAGAGAAGCTCGGAAAGGTAGCTTTAAATCAAATACTGATTTTCCTCCTGTAACTCACACCTGTCTATTGAATCAGTTATCCAAGCAGCTTGTAAGATCTTAAACTTTCTTTTAAGAGCTCTCCGAAAAGCTTTTAACTTTGCAACACGGCTATGATCCTCCCCAATGATGACATGAGAAACCCCTTCCGCTAAACAAGAAACTACTGTTGCCCCATGAAATCTAAGCTCCAAGGCTTTCACAGCTAATCGTGTTTCCTTGATTTGGGTGCTCAAGTCATTAATAACAGCATACAGGTCCAAGTAAAATGTGTAGTGTCGAAACATACTGAGAGGAGAGCTGTCCCAGGAATAGCGATATTCTAAATCAGCAATCACAGAAGTCATTTCTTCAGAAGTCTGTTCGTTAGAACATTTAATCCTGGAGAACACCTCCTTCAGTTGGTTCAAATCTGTATCAACAAAATAGCTGTCACCATAGCAATCATATTCAAGAGCAAACTGCTGTTTTGTTGAAGGGCACACATGGACCATAAAGCAAGGCTGCCAGGGCACACAGCTTTTAGTCTTAAAACACTCTAAAAGCCAGTCAGGCTTCACAACATCGTGTTTGTTTGTAGAAATGATATTTCTCACTCTGATGTTCTCAGAGCCTGCAATTATGCAGGCTGTGTCTGGGCCTGGATTTTGGACTATGTAACCACCAAATTCTGAAATTCTGCTTTCCAGATCAGACTTTGAATGGCTGTCTGTTCCACTCATCACACAGAACTCCATATCTTCAAATACATTAGAAACTTTGTTTATGTTAGAAAGATTAGGTGCTTTAAAGTGTTCAATAATTCCAATAACTTTCTTGATCTTTGGGGCAGCAGCCTTGCGCTTCTTCTGTTGGGGCTCGTCATCACCATCCACATCCAGGTGCCTGGTTGCAAGCTTCCCATAGGCTTTGCCTCTCAGTTGCTCTAAGTCATCCAGAGTCATGCAGTTGTGCCACTCTTTGTCTTCTCTTATCTGCTCAATGCGTGGAAAGCGCAAGGTGCAGCCCGTTCTATACATATCACTGGGGACAATCTCTGCTGCCTTAATCTGAACAATGACAGAATTACAGGGTTCAATGTACACTTCTGGCTTCTCAGTTCCACATAAAATGCTACTTGGTGGAGCTTTTTTATGAAAAGGCTTCCAATGTTTGGCCAGTTTCAAACCCAAGTCATATAGTTCTTTCATGGTATAACCTGAGCCAACACGACACAATGTGTGAAATACAGACGGTTTTCCACCTTTTGGGGGCTTCTCTGCTACTGCACACAAAAAATGAGACATCATTCCACCCCGGGACCCTTTACCCCAATAGCCTCCAACAATTAAGATGTCCAGTTCATCCATGAGACCACTCACATACTCTGGTTTAATTTTTAACCATCCTTCACCTCTTTTGTCTGGCTTGTAAATGGACAAAGGATATTTTATCATGATCCCCTCTTCTCTTTTATCTATGGCTTCATTTAGAGCATCGACTACGTCTTTCTTAGTATGAGCTTGTGTTTTCTGCACGATTTCTATTCTACCTGGTATTGGTGTGAAAATATTATTAAGAATTTCATATCTCTTGTTCAATGTCTCATGTCCTAGCTTTTTATTATTAATCATTAACACGTCAAAAACACAATAACACGTAAGCAGGTCAGAGTCCTCTACCATTCTTTTAATATCGAACTTATTTCCCTTTTGCATAAAACTTTGAGTAGTGGGATTATAGGCCATCATCTCGCCATCAAGGATACAGTTTTGTATATTCGTACCAAAAGCACTGTGAATGAATGGTGTCAAAGAACCACTTTGTGGAGAATCACCAAACTGTTCAGTATAGTCATACCCATTTCGGGAGAAGAATTTATATACGTCCCCATCCCTATGCATTTGCATTCGTTCACCATCCAGCTTGGTCTCGATGTAGAAACCCTGGTGTTTCATGTCCTTCTCAACACGCTGAATATTTGCGATACTAGCTAGCATGGGCTTAAAGGGCGAAAATAAAGTGATTGAAATATCACTGAGTCCCACCGAAGGGTCATGCAATTGCCTACAGACTTTCTCCAGATCCGTAGTGACATTATGCAACTCATTGGCATCGTTATGAAAAGCAGAAAGTATTGTGTGCTCACTAACACCGAGATGCAAGTCCTTTATAATCATTCGTATGAACCATTTTTGTTCAAGTGCTGAGCTCTGAGTGATGAACTGAAGGAGACTCTTCTTTACGAGGTTCTTTTTTCTGGCAGAATTATTGCTGGCAACCGAGTCTAAAACGTCATTGACTTGTTGAATGGATAAACTTCCTTTCTGTAAACATCTTGGCTTCAACACAAAGTATGCTATCATGGCGAAGTCTCCAGCATCTCCCCGCGTTCCAGTAGGAGCTCTGTAATTTAACAGCTTAAGGGCATCTTTTCCTTCTTTAGGCAAATTAAGCAATTCAATATAAAGCTTTGCAAGCATAGTTTCTTTGATTCCATAGGCCATTCTCTCTCTTTCTTGCTGAGGTAGAATGAGTCGCATTGCTGGATAAAAAGAGTCTGAGACATCTTTTTGGTTTTTATGAAGGGCATCATGAAATTTCCTCCACGAATCTAAAAATTCCTTGAAATGCCTGATTTTTTCGACACGCCCCTTACTCTTCTGTATTCGTTCTAGAGTTGAACATAAATCTGCAAACGGAACATGGGATGCAACAATTCGTGAAGTTGACGAAGCAGCCCCAGAAGCCATGGTGAATCCTCTGGGTTAACTAACAAAGCAAAAAAAGAACAATATAAGTAAAAGATAAAATTCAACTAAAGAACAATACTTGGTTCATAATGGATAATTATTAATGTTTGCGAAGTGAACACAGATCAAAACTATGTGCTTCTCTTCAACCTCTACATTTAATAATTAACTATTTTCTTCCTATTTCTAGTTAATAATTATTTTCCAAAGTTTTGCCAGCCCCATTTCCTATATTCGTAATCCTAAAATTAATCATTTTAATTACTTTTTCACTGAGGCCCGACTTCCACTGAACCAATTATTCCATTGTTTTAATTATTTAGCGCATAGAGCCTTCAATATGGATTGCACGTCAACGTAAAGAAAACAAAAATCCTCACAACTAGACCAATACATAAAATCAGGATAAATGGAGAAAGACTGAAGTTGTCAAAGACTTCATTTTGCTTGGATCCGCAATCAACACTCATGAAAGTAGTTAAGAAATGAAACAACGTATTGCATTAGACAAATCTGCTGCACAAGACCTCTTTATAGTGCTCATGAGCAAAGACGTCAGTTTGTACCTGACCCACGCCATGGTGTTTTCAGTCCCCCTTGTATGCGTATGAAAGTTGGACAGTGAATATGGAAGACCGTAGAAGTATTGATGCATCTGAGTTATGGTGTTGGGAGAAAAATATTGTAAGTACCATGGACTGTCCAGAAGAAGAAACCAATCTGTCTTGGAAGTATAGCCAGAATGCTCCTTAGAAGCCAGGATGGTGAGACTTCGTATCTCATAGTTCAGGCGTTTTATCAGAACGGGCCCGTTTCTGGAGAAGGACCTCCTAATTGGTAAAGTGGAGGGTCGGGGAAAAAGAGAAAGACTCCCAGTAAGAAGGACTGGCACAGTGGCAGTAGCAATGAGCTCACGTGTAACAATGGTGAGGTTGGTATAGGGTCCAGCAGTATTTCGTTCTGTGGTGTATAGGGTCATTGTGAGTCAGAACCAGCTTGAAGTCACCAAACAACAACAAATGTACATTTGGTAATAATCATGACAGAAACCCTAGATAAGTTCAGCTGACTTAATTCCTGGGCCTTAGGAAAGGTTCTTCCTGGCTTATATAGCTCATCTTTTTTTGTGACTCTATCAAACAGGATAAGAAACAAACTCCTTAAATGGACTTTTTCCTTATTTTTTCAAAATCACAACACTCTTTCCTTTACTGAATTTAAATTTGGCTTCATAGAAAGTTTGAACTTCTCAGCATATGATCCTTCCCCAAAGGAAAAAGGAAAAGGTAACCTCTGTTTGCTACATTTTAGGAAAAAAAATCTCTTCCAATCAATGAAAGCCTCTGTCCACATTCCAGTCTTTACTGACAACCATGAGGAAAGCTCTACATTCAAAATCCAACTCAAAATGTTGTTGTCGGTTACCTTTGAGCCAACTGTAACACATGGGGAACACATGCATGCTGAGTATACGAAATACAGAAAAGAGCCTCTTCAGAGGGTAATGAAAGCTATGACCTTCCAGAAACATACTGCCAGACCTGGCTCCCAAGGTGCTTGCGGATGGGTATGAATGGTCAACATATCAGCTGGTAGCAGAACACTTAATGTTTGCATCATCCAACGGCTCCTCTAGCTCAGAAAACTCCCAATGTACCTACCTCTTGTACCTCTGATATAATAATTCTTTATAGCTTTATATTTAAATTCATTAGTACAATGTTTGTTTATATTCTTCTGCCAGTTAGCCCCATGCCAGGAGCTGTGATCCAATATTTCTGTCTTAAAACAGCCAACAGTCAGGAAAGAAAAAGGTACATAATGAGACTAAAATAGAAATAATGCTAAATTCAGTAACCAGAATAAAGCAAAAGGAAGATGTCTTGGCTGGGAGAATTTTCAGTATCTTCTAAAGTCAGGCCAAGAGGAAATAATGGGTACCTTGGCAGGTTAGCATCTGGAGACTTTCCTAAGACAGTCACCACAAATATAAAATCTCTTTGAAATGTTAAGTAGTCATGCAAGTTTTATTAGAATCCTGGTATGGTGCAGCAGGATAAGCACTGGACTGCTAACCACATGGTTGGGAGTTCCAAGCTCCTTGGAAACCCTGCACAGGGTTGCTATGAGTTGGAATCAACTCATCAGCACTTAACAAAATGCATGCGAGTTGGGAGTGTGGTGCCTCTGCACACTAAGCACTAAACTGTGAACCACAAGGTTTGTGGTTCGAGCCCACCAACTGCTCTGTGGGAGAAAGATGAGGGTTTCTGCTCCCACAAAGATTTATATCCTCAGAAACCCTATACAAGGTCTCTATGAGTCGGAACGTACTCGACAGCATTTAACAACAACAAATATCAATTATTTTAATATGGTTTCAACTATGTAAGAATTGGTGACTTTGAATTATGACATTGGTGAATAATACTAAACATACCACAGGCTGCCAAAAGAACGAACAAATCTCTGTAAGAAGGCGCACAGCCAGAAAGCTCCTTAGAAGTGAGGGTGGCGAGACTTGGTCTTTCACACTTTAGACATGTTGTCAGGAAGAACCAGCCCCTGGAGAAGGACATGCTTGGTAAAGTGGACGATCAGTGGAAAAGAGTAAGACCCCTAAAGAAATGGAATGACTCAGGGGCTTCAACAGTAAAATGACTGTGAGGACAGCACAGACCTGGACAGTAGGGTCACAGCGTCACTATGAGTTGGAAATGACTCAATGGCACTTAACAACAACATTAAACTTAACTTATTTTCCATAAAAAGACCTTAACCAAACTGTATGCTTCAGAAATACAAAGCACATTTTTATCTTCCGGGTTCAGACACCTCTGGGCATAGCAGCATATACCGCAGGCAGAGGGAGTCTGCAAAATTCACGGTGGCGGATTCTCCAGTACCGTGGACGGACTATGAGAGCCGCATCTCTGAATCCTCCATCTCAGCAAACAAAGTAGAAACATAAACAACTAGCACAAGGCTCCATTATCTACTGATGTCACTGCGAAATGTCGTCAAGTCGCTTCCGACCCATAGCGACCCTGAATAGGGTTTCCAAGGAGCACCTGGTCAGCTTGAACTGCCGATCCTACGGTTTGAATGGCTTTGCAGTCTGGCGTATTAACCCACACCGCCACACCAGGACTCCAATTTCTATTAGCTCGCAAGACATGAAATAGCAAATTGCAATGCCACGTTTACTAAACGGTCAGCTCTGAGAGCTCAGTAAGGACGTGGCCTCGAGTGCCTGATACGCAGCAGTCTTGTTTCCTGAATGAATTACTGGATCCCTACAGCTGAATATCTGAACAGCATGGTACAGAAGGCCAGAGACACCAGTGTGGCTGGTGGGATTCAACTCTGTGAAAAACATTATGCTGCTGCTGCCTGGCTTAGCAACGGTTTCCAACAGCCATTTGGTGGTCTGTAGGAGCTCTGGTAGCGTACTGGTTACGAATCGGGCTGCGAACCTTAAGGTCAGCGGTTCGAAACTACCAGCTGCTCCGCGGGAGAAAGATGAGGCTTTCTACTCCCGTAAAGATTTACACCCTCGGAAACCCTGTACAGGGTCGCTATGGGTCGGAACCGACTCGACGGCACTTAACAACAACAACAACAGGGGGAAAAGACTGCAGTTCTATCTAGTTCCTGACAAAGGAGTCCCCAGACTTCTACTGCACCAGTTAGATCACAAGATACAGCCACGGGACCATTCCTCTTTATTTTTTAGTTTTGAATATTAACAATTGCTTCCCCTGTTAGTCTCGCTTGGATGACTAACCATGCAGGGCTTTGACACCGCTCATTCTCTGTGGAGAATTTGAATTTCCACCCTATACTGAATCATATATGCAGTACCCTATCTCTAAAAGCAGACTTCCTCCGTGGATATGTTATAAGACATCATATTTAAATAGATCATTTATTCATTGTTGTTGTTAGGTGCTGTGGACTCAGTTTTGACTCTCAGTGATTCTGTATGTGGTTTCAGAGGCTGCAAATCTTTATGAGAGCAGAAAGCCTCATTGTTCTCTCATGGAGCTGCTGGTGTGTTGGAACTGTTAACCTTGTGGTTACCAGTACAGTGCTTATCCTACAGGGCCACTAGCACTCCCCAATTTATTAATAATGCATATTAAATATACAAAGAAATCCTTCTCGGAGTGTCTGAGTTTGGTATACAGTTTCTGATCTATCTATAGATTTTATATGGCCTCAAAGACAGTTTTCCTCAGCAAGTTTCAGACAAAGACTCAGAGCATCTGATAATAATGTTGAAATTTAGGTAACATATATCCTGAACCTGTTACCCCGAAAACAAGGATTCCAAAATTCATATAAAATTAATTATTTTAATAGTTTTACTTATTGCAGTTGCAGAAACAGTCCAAGATTCTGGTTTTCACAGCTTTTGGACTGCAGGTAAGTTTGAGCCTCAAGGTCAGCAGTGCAAACCCACCAGCTGCTTCTCAGAAATCCTACACAGGGTCGCTATGAGTTGGAACCGACTCTATGGCACATAACAACAACAACCACTAATACTATATATTTGGATTCTGAACTTTGAGGCTGTTATTTTCCATTTGTGAAAAACAAACCAAAAAAGTCAAGTTAAGGGAGTCCAAAGATCTGGGTTACAATGAGAACTCAAAATGCTTTGAGTGACATATGACAGTGACTTAATATCTCTAACCTTCAATTTCCTTTAAGAGTAAAACGGGGTTGATAAGTATCTCGAAATTAGGATGACAGTCACTTGTGCGTAAAACAGAAACACATATTCAGTAAATCCTAAGTGATGTTAGTACTATAATACTTCATAATCTAAACAACATTGAAAGCATAGGTAATGCAACATTGTAATATGCAGATAAAATGAAGGTGGGCGTAGGCCACTTCAAGTTTTGACAATGTGAAAGCTTTCAAGAGAATGAATCCAAGTAATCAGAACATTATGATTCATCAACCATTCCCCT